GTGAGTCACTTGCCCAGGTGGTACAGCCAGTAAAGGGCAGGGCCAGGCCTTGAGCCCACACTGCCTGCCCTCACAGCCTCCAGCCCGCAAGGCCTTGGATCATCAGGCACAGCTCCCTGCCTTGAAGATGAGGGACTGGCGCCCAGAGAAGGGAAGAGACTTGCTCCTGGACCCAAGGCCCAGAAGACTAGACCTGCTGAGCAGCCTAGCACCCTGATTCCTGGCCTCAGGGGTCTGTCTGCTCCGCCCCTGCTGCGCCTGTGAGCTGAGGCCAGGAGCCAGTCCTGCTTCCAATTCATGGAAAACCTACCTGGCCTCAGCCTGGGGTCAGTTCTTTAAGTTTTATTCTGCTAGCCTGAGACTCTGGGATTGGATGGAGTTGTGATCTTATAAAACCCAGAGTGAAGGGACTTCCCTGGCGGTCAAGTGGTTAAGACTTTGTGCTCCCAGAGCAGGGGGCATGGGTTCAATCCCTGGTCAGGGAACTAAGGTCCTGCATGCCACACAGCACAGCCAAAAAACTAAATAAAACCCAGGGCAGAGGGACTGAGATCAGTGAAGAGGGTCAGAGCCTTATGCTGTCCTAAGGCATGTTTAGCTCGAATTTGGTCTAAAGATAATGTCTCTTCCAGTGGGAGTAGAATGAGGAGCTTGACTGACTCAAGGCCTCCCTCCCTGAGGGCCCTTTTGGCCAGTTAAGGGGGGACGTGAGAAGACCTTCCCCCCACCCCCCTGTAACACACTTAGACTTTTAAAGCTTACCATACACTTCGTCTTTGGGTGAAAGCGTTTTTTAAAAGGTGACAGACAACTAGTGCCATTGGCAGGCAATATACTCTGGGCAGCTCTCCATCTTCTCTGATTAAAAACTGAAACAAATGAAAACAGCACTTCAAAAGAAAACCTATAAATGGATGGGAGCCAGTTGTCATTCTCCCCTTCCTCCTCGCCTCCGTGAGCTGACTTGGTGAGGATCCGCGTTGAGAAGCACTCATGACAACAGCTGGTGGCATCATGCCTTTAAATAGCCCTTCTCCGCACTGCTTCCCCCGGGCGTCACACCCTTTGCCCTGGCAGGGGAAGCCCAGGACACAACAGGAAACTTCAGAACTTTCTGAAGAAGGAGAGAGCTTGCTGCAAAGCTTGCTCCCTCTCGCCAAGACCTTTCGGTCTAAGGAGCTTGCACTGGTGTGGCCCCTCCCCCAGAAGTGTCCAAGGAAAAACTGAGCTGATGAGATTTGCCCAGTGTGAGGCCGGGCCTGAGGAGGGAGAGCGGGGGAGAGATGCCCCTGCCCCCGTGCCCAGGGCCCGTTCCAGCAGCAGCCAGCACCGCTCCCTCATCGGGCACCTATCTTGGAGCCAACAGCCTGTGCCCCTGGTGTCCTCCCCTGTGACTTGGGACAGGGACGCCACCCTGCCCAGTGGTGCTGGGGTACATCACACTCCACGGTGTCCTTCAGGCAGTAACGCAGATGCAGCAGAGACGGGCAGCGGCCTGTCAACATCTGACCCTCTGCAGAAGGGCCACCAGGCTCCCCTCCAGCAAACACAGATACCGCTGGGGAAATAGCAGCAGGCGAAACACGGGGAAGGAATGCATGGCCCTCACGTCCGAGTGGCGGCAGCCAGCTGACAAGGTTCCTTCCCGCACGTCTTTTGCGTGTGCGTCGCATCAGGGTGGGCTTGTTGCCCCTCCTCACTGTGGGGAAACAAAGCTCAGGGCTTCTCTTGCCCGGCCAGCCTCACCCTAGGTCGGGGGCCCCTTCTGCCTCATCACAGTCCCCCTTCCCATAAGGGCGAGGGATTTGAGGCAAGGGGTTTGAGGCCCTCAGTCTCAGAGCAGGTGGTGGTCTGGCTGGGTCAGTATGCAGATGGAGGAAGGTGTTTATCCTTCTCACTAACCGTCGGCATAGGTTGAAGTTTGAGAATGGATGACAGTTTATACTTTTCTTCCTCAGAAGCTGAACGTTGCATTCGCCTGCATTGTGGGGTTGCTGTCTCTCACTTCCCTCTACAGCGTGCAAGGGACGTGCTTTAACTGCTCTTGCAAACCTGGTGGCCGTCGGTAGTTACCTTAATTACAGCCATGAAGTCCACACTGGGCCCTCTGTATGGGCAGGCCTGTGGGGTCACAGAGAAGGGGACATGCCCCCTGCTTTCCAGGTCTGGCAGGGCAGCCCGGCCAGCAAGCCATGTGCACACGTGACACGTGCCCCAGCAGAAGCACAGAGAGCGTCTGCAAGCAGGGAGAGGACCTTCTGGTGACCAGGGAAGCCTTGATGGCTGCAAGGGCGTTTGGCCTGAGCGTGACTAAAGCCCCGAGGTGGAAATGGCACGTGTGAGGAAGAGCAGGTGGCCACACTTGGGGGGGGGCGGGAGTGCAGGCCGGCATCCTGGACCGTGCGTGGGCTTCAGGGGGCTTGCGGCATCCCCCAACTGCATGTGACATCACAGTGAGGAGACTTACCTGCAGTTTTTCTGGAAGAGGATCCTTAGCTTTCTTAGCTTCTCAAAGGTCGGGGGAGGCACGATCCCAAAAATGTAACCGAGGAAAAGTGCAAATAGTAAAAATCATGGCATGCCAGGCTGCGAGTTTGGGCAGATGAAAGGTCTCGGTTGGGGTAGTGACAGAGACCCACATTCAAAGAGAATTGATTTAGTTGCAACAGAAAAGCGAAGTAAGCCTTTTTTTTTTTTTGGCGGTACACGGGCCTCTCACTGTTGTGGCCTCTCCCGTTGCGGAGCACAGGCTCCGGACATGCAGGCCCAGCGGCCATGGCTCACCGGCCCAGCCGCTCCGCGGCATGTGGGATCTTCCCGGACCGGGGCATGAACCCGTGTCCCCTGCATCGGCAGGCGGACTCTCAACCACTGCACCACCAGGGAAGCCCACAAAGTAAGCCTTTTGTCCCGGGGAGAAACAGCAGTTTTGTGAAAGGTAACAAGAGAGGGAGCCCAGGTGTTGGGACACAGGGGAGGAAGAGGAAGAAACTTCAGGATGACTTCACCGCAGGGGTTTAGGGAGAAGTGGAAACTGAGGGTTCTGTTACAGAAGTACCAGGGGGCCGAAGCACTTTCAAATGAGTAATATTGATGAAAAAGCACATTTGGAACACACTGGCTTGAGTTATAGAGAGACGCCCAGGTCACAATGTCCTGGAGGTGGTTGGAAATGTGGGCCTGGAAGTTTGGGAGATAAATAAGGGCTGGGGACCCAGATTTGGGGTGGGGGGAGGGGCAGATTCTCTGCTGAGGGTGTTTCGAGCCTGAGAGGATGCAAGGGGAGTGGCGAGCAGGACAGGAAGGAGTAGCCAACTCGATTTCTATGGGAGTGGGGAAGGCGGGAGGGAGAGGAAGAGGGACGGAGCAGGTCTAGATGTGTAATGTCCCAGGGACAGAGAGCTTCCAGACACGGGGGCCCACGCATGAATGTGGCAGAGAGGCTGCAGAGACTGGGACTGAAAAAATTCAGCAAAGCATGGAAATTTGAAAGAGGGTTTCCGGTGACTTGGCATTAGGAGAGGGGATCAGGCAGGCGTCATCAGTGGCTGCTCTTAGCGGCGACCTAGTGGCGACGCCGGGCTGCTGAGTCGTGTGGGGCTCTTCGCCCGACGCTGAACCGCCGACAGTGAACCACCCTGTTGAGTTTCATGACTGCTGAGCTGTTCTCTGCTCTCTTCTCACAGACGGGCTTCGCCTTGTTGCCTGTCGCAGCTTCAGCAGGTCTGCCCTCTGCCTTTAAGTTAGCTCCCCAATTCCTAATGTGGGGCTTCTGACCTCCTGGGAGCCTGGAGCGCCAAGCTTATTAGAACCATGTCCTAAATAACATAGACGTGTGAGGCACTGAGGCCTTTGTGGTACTGATGATGACAGGTGTCTTGGTGGCCCTTCCTAGCTCAAGTCACAGGTCCAGGTGAGCCACTTCTGGATAAGTCCGGTGTGACTGCTCTGATCTCACGGGCATCAGGGGTGCGGGAGGGAAGCCTGGCAGGCACACGCGGTGCGCACCGCAACCTCTGCGGCTTCCTCTCCCTCTGCTTTCTACCTCACCCTTTCTCTTCCGGAAGAGTGTTTAGTTCCCAGCTCCTGACAAGCCCTCCCATGCCCCCAGGCCTCTGCTCCTGCTGTGTCTTTTGCCTCGAACACCTGTAAAATGGCTACTTCACCGCCTCCTTCACTGGTTGCCCGAGGCTGGTGCCTCATGGCATTGCCGTAAATGCCCTCACCACTGCAGTTGGTATCTCTCATGTGTCTGCTCCTTCTCTAAACTGAGATCACCTGCATGGTAGGTGCCACATCTGGGTCATCTCACAACCCTTGGCACCTAAGGCAGTGCCTGGCACAGTCAGTGTGGCATGTGCCCCTCTCCTGCCGTTTGACAGAGAGCCTGCTTCTCCAGATTCGAACCTGGTTGCGGAAAAGCCAAACGGTCTGCCCCAGACCCTGTCACTAGTCTGTGGCTGACCAGGGAACGTTCTCCTGATACCCAGCCTGGCTTTCTTTCCAGTAGATCGAACTACAAATACGTCTGCCAACGAATGGAGGCCGTGGATCACTTAGAAATCCCTCTTATTAGACCCTCTCTGTCTATATGAAGTCAGAGATCCACCGAGTAAAAGTGCAACCTTGTTGATATTTCAGATCACAAAAACGACTGTGGCTTGATCACTCTCTGGCTTGTAGCTTGGACCCTTGGCTTTGACCTGGGGAAGGGCAGACGGAACCCGAGTCCTGATGTCTAATAGGAATTGGCAGCCAGGAAGGTCTGGGTACAGGCCCTTTAAATACCCATGAGAGATAGCACGGTAGTGAACTGTATGGACCTCCCTTGGAAAAATCCAGAGAGCTTTGCGTCAGCAGGGAAGGAAAATCCAATCCAAGATGCATGAACAATAAATAACAACTGTTCCGAGTTAGGTTGAAAGCTCTGAGTTGCACTTTTTTTTTTTTTCAAGATGTTTGTGCTAACCACAATTTTTTTTCTCCCCCTTTCCCACCAGGGCTTATTTCAAAACCTTTGTCCCTCAGTTCCAGGAGGCAGCGTTTGCCAATGGAAAGCTCTAGGAAACACCAGTCTTGAGAGGTGGCCAGCCAGACTGCTCTGTCCACATGCGTGTCAGCACATATGGCCGCTTCCTGGAAGCCATTGGAATGTCTTCACGGCAGCATTTCACTCACACAGCAGCTTTGCACCCCGACTGGAACCCACACTTGAGCTGGCTGGCGGGCACCTGGGTCCCAGAGCCCCCCGCCTCTGGTTGCCCCCTCTTTGTTTCCTTCAGTATACTTCTTAGTTGGAAGAAATAAAGTCACAAATCAGGATGCTGTTACTTTTCCAGGGAACGTAAGACATCATAAATGCACACACCCTGATTCCAAAGCCTCTGTCTCTGAGACCTCTTTTAAGTTTTCAGATAAAACACCCATTTGCTCTTTTCTTTCTCCCTGGAACTAGCGCCTTGTGCGTGTGTGTTTCACACCCAACCTTTCCCATTTGGACAGTCCCTCACTGGAAAGGTGCTGCCTGAATGAGTCTGACCAACTGGCAAGGTTTCAGCTGGGCCCTAGGCCAGCGCTCGGGAACAATTGGGAGCCAGCGTCAAACGCCGCTCCCCCATCCATCTCCAGGCCCCTGTGTGTGTGCCGTGTACAAAGCCCATCCTGACCCAGGAGGCGGTCGTTAAAGGTTGCTGAATGCATCAAGGAACCCATCCCTCTCTCCATCCCTCCTCCCGAGGCTGATGGGAGAGTTGTTTGGGCTGACGAAGCACTGTGCGAATTATACCTGGAAGACACAGGTTGGGTCCCGTGGGCGATCCCTGGGCTCAGGCCTGCCAGCTCCACAGCTGTCCGGGAATGGAGCGGGGGAAGGTACCCTGAGCAAGCTCCATCTTCCCTAAATGTATGGATTATCAGAGCCAGGCGGGGTTTCAGAAGTCACCTTGTTTCCACGCCCAACCCCTCTCCCCTGCTACTCCCTTCAGTGTCAGAGGCGAGAACTAAGGCCCACAAGCTAAAGAAACTCTCCCAGCAAATTAGGGCAAACCTGGGAGTCGGGAGCCATCACACGACTTCCCTCAACTTACACCCAGGCTGGCCACAGCCAACTTGCCCGCTTGACAAGGTCTAGTTTAGTTTAGCGGCGTTCCACCCTGAGGGCTTTCGACACAGGGAAGTGGGACCTCGGCGCGGAGGCGAGAGAAACCAGCAGGCTGAGTGGCCTGTGCTCTTACTTCAGCCCACCTGCCTCTCTCCCACTGTAGGGCCCGCACAGGTGGAACCCAGCCTCTCACTCTTCCCTCAGCTCCTCTTGTGGTTGGTGGAGCTCAGTTTCACCGCGTCAGCCTGAAAGGGAGCCAGCTCGGGGCCCTTTTGGGGGCCAGTGAGGGTACCCCTCCATCCTGTATTCTCCAGCACCCAGGAATGTTCTCAGGAGGTGAGAGAACAGGTAGAACAGACCTCCCAGCTTGGCTTCCAGCCGAAGGGCTGCCCAACTCTGGGATCTTTCACCACTTGAGTACTTTGCCTTGAAACCTTGGGAATTCCCACGACAGAGAGCAGTCCAGTGTCGTGCGTTGGCGCCGTAGCTTTGCCGTCAGCCAGCGGTGTGACGCTGAGTAAGTCACTTCTCCGTGTAGTCAGAACCACCCGGCGAGCTTTCTAAAAAGCTGCTTCTCAGGGTCCCGCTGCAGGCCCGCTGAATCATGTATCATTAGCTGGGGCTTGGGCATCCGGATTTTGATAAAACTCCCCAGGTGATTCTGTTGAGCACGTGGTCGCAACCATGCTGGAGTCTCTTCTGACCCTGGCCAGCTGCCTACCCCAGTAAGGGTTTCCAGCTCCAGTTCTAGCCGGGGGTGGTTGGCAGCTGTGGGGTGGGGTGAGGTCACGTGGCCTGGACCCCTGGCATTTCAAATCGCCAGTCCTCAGTGACAGCGGTCAGTATTGGGCAGTGTGACCTGGGAGTGGCCCTCCTGCCCCTGCCAGTCTCTTGGGGTCCAGATGGCTCAGGCTGGCCAGATTGTCAACGGTATAGCCCGCACGTCTGGGAAGCAGGCCCAGTCCAACCAGAAGTGCTGTCCTGCACTTTATCTCAGCACATCTCTGCAGCAGACCTGTGAAGTAAGCAAGTGAGGAAGGTCACCCCTGTTCCACAGATGAGGAAGCAAGATCAGAGAGGTTAAGTGAGTTACCCATGATCACCAGCCAGTCAGTGCCAGAGTCAGGACTCAGCCCGGGCTCCCAGCTCCAGATCCAGTACCGCTTCTCACGTTCGTCCATGACTCTAGTAAACAAACGGAGACTTCTTTCTTCCCCAGCAAAGGATGATGTACTATGTGTAGGTTTGTGAGCATGGAGATTATATGATTTTTAAAAAGACTTTCAGCCCCCTTCGCACAGGGGGAAGATTTGGGCTCATTTTCTTATGCGGAGCCAAAGAACAGAAGGTGACAATAGCCACTTCATATTTCAAATGCCAGGGACTCAGAACCAGTGTTTTTGAGATTTTTATCTCTACCCACAACAGCAACGGAAGCAAGCGGCACTTGTAAATGGGCGACAGTCGCCTGTGTGTTTTTTAAACACTTCTTGCTAGTTCAGCCCATCGCTGAGCATTGTACCTGCACACGGAGTGAGTGCGGCCCAGGGCTAATTAGTAAATGGCTATAAAATGCTTTGAAGATCAAAAGTGCCATATACGACAGCACATTATTATTACCTTGTAAATCCTGTCTCCAGCGTACTCGGCCCTTGTAATTTCAGTTGAATCTTTAGCTCAGCACAGACCAGGAAAAGGACTCAGATGTTCTGAGTGGCTGCATCAGGGCATCTCCTGGGGGGCCGGGGAGGAGGCATAAGAGACCAGGGCAGCCAGTGTTCAGCCTTCTCCCAGCCTCTCGGTTTCCTGAGGACCCACTGACAATAGGGAGATGGTGCTTTGTTAGAGAGAGAGAGAGAGAGAGAGAGAGCGCGTGAGAGCTCGTTTTCTCCTGGGGATGAACTGGAAAGAGGGTGGGCTTGAGGAGGAGAGAGACTTGTATTTGAATCCCGGTTCTGCCCACTTAGTGGCTGGTAAATATTTAATGAGCAGTTCTTCAGCAGTTTAAAAAAGAAGAGAAATAAAAGGAGGGGGCTGGTTTGTATTGTTTGCCGATTTCCACGGTGTAAATGCTCCCACCGTGACCAATTCCAAGCTCCCAACATGAGGTCACTGGACGCAGGCTTGGGAAGAGTAGGGAGAGTCGAGTGGTGGGAGCCTCTGTTGGGGTGAGCGGGCTCCAGTGTGGATCTTTACTTAATCTCACTGAGTTTTGTTTTCCTCATCTGTACAATGGGAATAAATACCATCTGCCTCCCAGGGTTGTGAGAATTAAATAAGAAAAGTATATAAAGCACAGCGCTTGGCGCACAGAAACGTTTGCTAAACAGTGGCTGTTATTATTGCAGACCAGAAAAAGGATTTTCTGATGTTGACTTTGGCCTTTCCCTAAAAAGGCAGAATGCCCCTGTTAAAAAGTCCTGCCAATGAACATGCCCCCTTTGGAAGAGTGACCCTGTCTGTGTGACTAGGAAAACAAAAATGATGTCATCTTGATTTTTAACGAACGAGGGGTTAGGTGTATCCGTGAGAGTTCCCTCCACCTCTGCCCCACGCTCGTCTTGCTTGAACTCTCGGCAGGTGCTCAGCCTCTCACAGTGACCTGCTTCTTTGTCCGGCCTCCCGCCTCCCCGTAGGCGGGAAAATCTAGAGCCGCACAAGCCACTTTTGCTTCTGACTCAGTTTCAGTTCCTGACAGCTACAGACCCTTGTTTTGGAGTCACAGCCTAGCCAGAGAAATGACCACATTCGGTTTGCCTCTTGCTTGGGCCTATAAATAGAACAAGCCCAGAACCTGCCCCAGTTCATGGGGACTGGCCTATGCCACAGTTCTTAACGTGAATGTTAAGAACAGCATCTAATGGTAACGTAACATCGAGTTCTGTTAATGGCATCGTGATTAATTCATTGGTGCTTTTTAAAATGAAAACAAGAGAAGAAACATCACCTTTATGTTTATGCATCTTTGGTGCTCACGGCACTGCTAGGAGAGTAAAAGTCAGGAGAGTAGACCAGACATATGATAGACGCAGGGTACTGAGTGGTGGTGACAGTGATCCCTGCCCTTAGTGAGCTATGAATGACATTCCATACTAGCTACTTTTCTAATCCTAACAGCTAAGTGAGGTAGGTGTTATTATCCCACCTTATAGATAAAGAAGCTAAGCCTCAAAGAAGTTAAATAACTTACCCACGGACAGGGAATGGGTATATTTCCTTATTCATCCATCATATCTTCTTTCCCTCCCTTCCCCTCTATCTCTCCCTTTCCATCCCCTTCCTTATTGCACAAAGGAAGTGAACTCAGGTCTCTCTGTTTCTTTCTACTGCCTTTTCTCAGCTTCTCCAAATAAAGAGATATTTATTGAGCATCTACTATATACAGAGCCCTGTATAAGACATTCATATACTTGTTTTTGCTATTTTCCCCAGGAGGAGAGGGGCTTGGGGTGGTTGGGACTGGCCAAGGTCAGATGCTGGTTCCAAGGCCAGGCTTCACACAGCAGTTCTGTGTGTCTGTGTCCCCAACTAAGATACTTTGAAGCAGTCTTTGTAGATGCGGATAGGTCTAGCTATGTGGCTGTCTAAATATACATAAATACCAGTTGATTTTCAGATGGTCGAGCCAGGACCAGCCCACAGTTTTAAAAAAAATCTGACTTCAAAGCTAGTGCCATATTCTCAGGTTAAAGTCCAACACACACTTGGTTGAAATAATGGCCTAACATCTGGGAAAAACAAGACGAAAATAGTTGTTCTGATCATTAGGGAAAATTACCAAAGGAAGGTATTACCAAAGACAGCAGGATCCACGACTGACTCCAGGTTAAATATGCAGTAACTCCAAAGGTTATTTCCTAACGTAACTCATGTTTTCTTTCTCCAGGGTTCCCATGTTGGCTCCTTCATTCTCTGATCCCCTTCACAGAGCCACACTTTACAAGCCTGCAAGGTCATGCTTGGGGTCATGATAAATTATGACTAATGATGGCAGGAAAAGTAGCCCCACAAGCAACCCAGGAATGACCAGCATGGCCCTCCCTGCTCTGGGCCAGCTGCCTTGGTACCATCTTGGAATGAGCCAGATAGCGTGGGACAGACACTTGTTCCTCCAAAGCAGAGCCCACCGTCCCCTTCTTTGAAGCCCCCAGAGAGCAGAGTCCCTCTACAGAAGTCTCCTCTTTCCAGGTCCTCTTTGGAATCTGCCCTTTGAGCTGGTTTAGGAGCCACTCATAAAAATTCATCCCTTTCGACTCCATGATCACATTTCTGCCACAGAGTGGGACTCCCAGCTCCCGGAGACCTGTGGCTGTGTGGGCAGGTGCCGAAAGAGTAGAAGCTAGG